ACCTCGCCTAGGCATGTCCGAGAGTGCTGAAACAGCTAGAAAGCCAAGTATCAAAGCCTGAGCTCCCCTGCGAACTTCCCAAAACCCCGAGCCCCTTGGAGGCCGGCGACTACCACTGGTACTGGATCCTGCCGGTGCCAACATACTTGCACAGCACCCAGCAGGCCGACCCCCAACCCCTTAAAGCGTGTCTTCCTAGAGTCGAGAGAAGCAGTCCACACTGCACGCATCTACGACATACCTACGCCTACATACATTTTTATGCAGATACATGAGTGTATTGCAGTGTGCTTGCGGAGCAGGCTCATGGCCTTTGTGTTTGCATTGCATGCTTGCTGATCTAAGATGCTGCACTCGAAACCCTTAATACCCACTTGCTGTGCTGTCTCGGAATACGCCGATCTCCCTATATCATATCTCACTTTGCCGCTTTCTCGTTCAGGGGCTGGTTTCAAGGCGGATGACCGAGGGGTTAGTCTTTCGGGAAAATAAATTTGCGGGGTCTTTCGTAAAGGAGGCACCCTAGCCCCAGCTGAGCAATTCAGTCAATTGTATCCCCGGGACCAAGCCTACTCTACCTTCTGCCTTTCTGCCTCCTTTGTCCCGCGCTTATTGGCAGCTTAACACCCTAAGTCCTTCGGAGAGAGCCCGTCACCCCTCTAGCTCTGAGAGGGTGTTCCCACAACGCCCCCGAAACCTCGGGGCCCGACATCAGAAGATCGGAGCCCCGAGCGACTGGGAGCCTGAGCTCGAGTTTTTTCAACTCATCGGAGCAGGTGGGCGGCCTACTTCTCGTGCTGCTGCTGATTCTCATGCCCCTTGGGGCCAGGTTTTGCTCTCCCATAGATCATGGGTAGTTAGAAGTGGGGTTATACGTCCTTTGCTTGAATGTGGGTTGCAACTGATGGCCATCCTACTTTCTGAACAACCATGAACCAACAAGTAGCACCATGTCTACACAAAGCTGCTGCGACAAGAGCTGTGCTTGGTGCTCGTATTGCTATGCTTGCTGGGAGGCTCCAGACTGGTTCAGTTACACGCCTTTCCTAGTTCGCCAGCTATCGTTTCTACATGTCTTGCTACATCTGCCGTACGAGCCCCGCCGATGTAGCAGCGTTGAAGGTCATTTGTTAACGCGCCGCCAGTTCCGTTGTCATCATCGGCCCTATCATGCTCACCACTTGTCTTCGTCCTCCTCGTCACCGGCACTGCCAGCGTCGTCGTCGTAACCTCCAGAGTGCACAGCCATCCTGACCACTACTGTCAATCGCGTTGTAGCATGTTGTTATACCTTGACACCCAACGGCAGCAGCAGCAGCCGCAGCAGCAGATGCTGTGTAGATAGCAGAGCGAGCGCATGTCCAACTCATAGGACACGGGGAAGATTGGTCTTCTTGTTTCGACGTCGCCCTCAGTCATACCGGGTTAACCCTTCACTCATCCCACGGCATCATCTGGTAAGCATGTTGAAGCCAGTTGTATATGTGTGTGTGTGTGCGCCATTCTAACAGTAGAGCTTCAAGCATTCAAAGCATAGCGCTTGTCGACGCACGCAGGTACGTGCAGGAGCCTGTTCTTTGGTGCATCGCTTTCGGCGACAATGGGCCGACCTCCATCCCTTTGAGCGCCACATGCGCCTCACCCGGCAGAAGCGAGTCGCATCGGTTTTGCTAAGACTCGAACGGGGACGTTCACAGAAAGCAAGGAGCCCAGATATGGAGCCGTAGGTTATAGGATCTTAAACAGGTTATGACAAATTACGACAGAAGCATTCCCGGCAACGCTTGGGATGCCGGTCTTACAAGATTCCCTGCCCTTCTGCAGAAATAAGCTTCCGAATCTTGCTGCAGGCTGGATCGCAGTACTGCTGTTACCACGACTTCCGTTACTATCAGTGTCATGGTGTGTTTGCGTACTGATGAGAAAGATGTGCTTAATACTGAAGCCTGAATAATTACCAAAACCTTTTCCTCAGGGTCTCTTGTTATGTCGGCACAAACATGTACGCCAAAACCGCAGTCTGATTGACGTCCGTTTAGCCACATCAGTTTGCAGGATGACCTGGAGGTTGCTTCTGTGATCATTACCACAGGCTGCATCATTGTGATGACTGCTGTCGTCTAGTTTGTGAGTTTCAACTATTTAGCCGTTTCTGTATTCTTGCTACTGCTTTGGCTAGGGCGCATGATAGGATTTCTCACTGTCCAGAATTGCACCAAGCCGAAAAGCCTCTCCGTGGCGAAGGCGAAGAGGCGAACGATGTGAGGACCAGCTACTCGATGTGCTCCTGCCGCTTGGCTACACCAAGACACCGCGTGAGCTGCATCTACCGGACAGCATCTAAGGCCAAGCAGGCCGAACCCTAAATTGCGACAGCTGTATCTACGGCTTAGGGGGGTGCTTGCACACAGGAGTGACGAGAGACTTGTCACACCTCGACACCAGCAGCAAAAGCGGCGCACGTATCACCAGCAGCAGCAGCAGCAGCAGCAGCAGCAGCAGGAGCCGCCTCAGCATTAGCACCGACTGCAGCAACGACACTCGCATCAACGCCAAGATCAGTAACGACGGCATCGTTGGAACAGCGCGGCAATAGAACAGAATCAGAAGCCATCGGGAGTAGACATAGTAAGCAGGGTGGCGAGCGGAAAAAAAATGGTGCAATCTACTCTGAAGCCTTCACTCAGGCATTGAACGAAGAAGGCACCCGAGCTGTTTGGGGTTCCAAACCCTCGAGGCTCAAAGCCCTCCAGCGACACCTGAAAGCCCCCATATCCTACGAACCCCAAATTCCGTAAGCCCGAAAGCTGCAACGCCCCTTTACAATAGACCCTATAGACCTCTCATTGCGACAGGCTTGGCCATGATGATGTACTGGGCGTTGCTCATGGACTTCACCCTTCTCTCCATGCGCATTTCAGCCTTTGTGCTGGTCACCCTGGCCTGAGTTCGGGGTGGGTTTCGGGATGTCAGGGTGTAGGGTGGGTTCTTTCTACTTTTTTGGGGAGTTCGGGGTTCCGTTTCTGTTGCCTGTAGCCTTTGGTTTTTCAGCAAAAAGATAGCGCCGGGTTTCTACGGGGCTAAACCCTAAACCCTAAACCCTATACAACCTTAACCGTGGCTTCGGGGTTTCTTACATTCATTCCTCATTCAAGGATCCTTGCACTTCCTAAGGATCCTCCGTTTGGGGGTCCCTCCTCGAACCTGAACCTCCGAGAGTCAGCACGCTTTAGGGTTTAGGGTTCAGGG